ATCTTCCTCACAAAAAAAAAAAAAGAAGAAGAAGAAGAAAGCTTGCATCGTGCCTTCCCAACCAAATTCTACAGTAGAGAATTTATGTGCGCACTCAAGGAAACATCCCCACCTTCACCACATCTGCAGAGAGCACTGCTGTGTTCTCCAATGTGGCTTGAACAGGCCATACATTCTTCTAGAGTGGAAGCATTATTGCCCACTCCTGGCTTTTCAGTCAATTGATTTAAATAAATCTGGGCAAGCTTTTCAGTCCCTTTATGTTATTATCAACCCAAATCTGAAACAAATGGACTAGTACTGAGGTAGTACCTGCCTAATAAAGAGCCTACCACGGAGGAAGTTGTTATTCCTCCACACTTTCTCCTTCTTCTTTTCATATTATTTAAAGCCTAGCAATAAAATAGTGGATCCTTGACATTTAAAAGTGATATGTCTGTATAAATTCCCACATTCACAAATTCATTAAAAAAAACACTCTTGGATTAAAAAAAAAGAATTCATTACCAATTGATTCACTCCAGTATACCAGCCCCTTAGCTTGTGTCATTCATTTGTGCTACAGATCTTAGGTAGATACTCTCATTTAATTTTCACAATGATCTTTTGAGGCCACTGTTATTATTATTACTACAATTTTTAACTACTCCAAATTACTGCAAATAGCATACCTAGGGATGGTTTGCAAATAGTCGACAAAATAAATATGAAATTTGTGAATGCTGAGGGTCTATTATATCAAGAAGAATATGAGGATATGGAGTTGCAGTTGATTTCCCTTCCAAGCAGCAGCACCATCTATCCCAGGAACTGGCTGCCTACCTTCCTTGGCCCTCTGTGCAGTGGATGCTGGTGTGCTCTGGGCACAGTACACCTCCCGGGTCTGGATCCCACCGCCGCAAACAGGTCCCGTGGCATGCCAGTGGGGGTCCTGCTGTTCGAGGAGGAGAGAGACTTGGCATTCTTTCCATTCAGAGGTCTTCCAGGAATACCTGTTTGATTTTATTTATTTAAAAGAAGAAGAAGAAGTAAGGAAAATATAAAATTCTAAAGAAAAGTCATGATAGCAAACATAAGTAATAATCTCTTTCTAGGGGTAAATCTTTGCCTATGGATAAAGAAGTCTACTGGCTTTGAATACTAAATTCCTTCTATTTCCTAGAGAAAAATCACAGCAGCTTATCATGGTAATAGCACAGGATGAGAGGAGTGAAGGAAGGACATATAGATAAACAGTGGATGTGTCTCAGCCTTGAAGCTGTAGGAAAGTAAAGAATTAGAGGAAGGAGTCGGAAAGAGAACGAGCCTAATTCATAGCAGGTGAACTTGCCATGGGGCTTCACAAACTTCTAGATGACTGTGTGTGAAAGTTAGCCTGTCTTTTTTAATTAGTAGGATAGTGTACGAATGTGTCAATATATTATTTTAAATGGACAGAAATGACCTCCAACTTTCCAATCTTCTTAATATAGAAAAGTATTTCTATCTGTTTGACCCCATTGGGATAAAGGTATAGATATTAAAAATGAGTTAACAAGGTGCCACTATATTTAATTGATGAGTAATTTTTACATATGCAGAGATGCTGTTATTTAAACTGACTTAGGAATGTCTCCTCCTGGTTTATAACTGGTTAAGATACACAATATCTTAATAGACACACACACATGCATACAAATAAGGGGAGAAAACACAATGGAGTTTGCACACAACCTGTAGAGAACAAAACAACCATAACAACACTACACTAATACCTGGAGAATTATTTCAGACGGAATTTCCTTTTGTGGATTATTACAGCATTCCTCAAGCCCATAGCATTAATACAACCCTACAGCATTCACATAAATACCAACAGACTCATTAACTTCTGGAACAATAAACAAAAGCTAAGAACATTCTCATATTTGCTGTCCCATTTCAGATTTTAAGGAAAAATTTCTCAGCTTCATGATTGTTTAAAAGAAAAAAAAAGCAATAAAAATAAGCATGTGTCACCAAGACCCTAGCCTTATAGAAACTAGAGTAAAATTGAAATCAAGTAACAGACAGCAAAATCAGGAAGCAAATCTCTAAGAAACCTAATAGTAATCAAACCTCTCATAGTGAACGTCATCATTCCAAAAAGCTTGCAAGCTGAGAATCATTAGTCTTGTGAAAATCCCACTGTAGAAAAAGGATTTGGACACTCCTTTGGGATTTGTTATAACACAACTGTTCTCCTTCTGCCTTGCTACTTCATTTTCACATGATTTTCCAAGTGAAAATTAGTCAGTGGGCTAGGCAAGAGTTTGGAGTGCAGAGTTCAGGTCCTGTTTATGCCAGGGGAAATAGACAATAATATGTTTCTAATTCTTGGGCATGAGAGACCAAGAGAAGTTCAGTTCTTCCCAGAGGTGAAGCTCCGAAGCGCTTTCTTCTCAAAGTTCTCACCCTATTCTCTAGGGTCACTCAAGCGGAAGGCTTGTCTCTCCTGTCTCTGAGTCTCAGGGCACAGGTAGCTCTGTAGTCTGGGGCAAAATACAACAAGGTAGGGGTGTTTTGGAGTGTGTGGTTACCAAGTTCTCAACTCAAACCCTCTTCCTCCAAAGGTTCCCTAAAAGAAAAGCTCTCTGGCTATTAAGCAGGGGGTGATAGAGCTGCTGACTCCAAAGCTCCTCTGATAGAATAGAGTTAGCCAATAAGACAGGCAAAAGAGGGGTAGTATAGTGTAGACGACAAACGTGCTTTAGATCCAAACTGACCTGGACTTTACTAATCATGTGACTTTGGCCCAGATCTGTTTTCTCATCTGTAAAATGGGGACCCTAATGCCAAATGTTGAACCGGGCATATAAGAAAAGTTCAATAAATGTTAATTCTCTTTCTTCCTATGTCCTTCTACATGTGCCTTTTGCCCCTTGCTGCCACAGAAAACAGACACACAAACATACACACACACACACACTTAGCACTATTTACGAGGATTTCATCAAAATCCTAATATTAGAGATCTAGGAGTGCCATAGTCTAACTTCTGGCACCCAAAGTTCAGCAAAGAGCTTAAAAAAATTTAGAGTTTAGAATTATAGCAAGTCATAGTAATTTGTTTGCTTGTTTGAAAGGACAAGCTGTAAAAATTGTTTTTTAAATTAATTTATCATGACTCTATAAAAATTACCAAGGGAGGAATTTTGGAAGTCCTTATGGAGAAAAATGAAAATGAAATTTTAATGACCACAGTTTTATATAAAGTAACAAAAACCCTTTTGGTAGCTCATTGACCAAAAACACCCAAATTCCATTCACTGGTAAATGACAAATTCTCCAAAGACATATATGACATTTATCACTATCGCTATTGTTTACCACCTCAGAGAAAATAGCAACCCAGTAAGTGGTAGAGGAGAAAGCACACCAGTAAAGGATTTCCATATTCCTTTTAAAAATGCCAGTCTTTTCATCGTCTGTCCTCATCCTTTTTTCTTTATTTTTTCAAAAGCACTATCTACGTTTAGTCACAAATCACCTGGCAGCCATGAAAACTGAACCTCCTGAACTCCATCAGCCTGGGAAAGTGTCTACAGGATCTGACAGAATAAGAAATCAAAGGAGTCTGCTACTGTCTTTCTCCTTTAGAAGTTGGTGCCGAGGTAATCCTCCAGCCTCCAGACAACTTGGCTCCCTGACTGCCTGCCTGGGACACTCTCTTTAATGGCTAAGACCCGGTCAAAGATCAGGTCTTTTCCACAGTCCCTCTCCCAACTCCGATGCCCTTCAACACATCCTCACTTTGTCCTTCTGCTTAGGAGGGAACCACAGGGAGTCCAAAGGGCAGAGGCCTACCTCCTATGAGTGAGCAGCACTTTGAAATCAATTGTGAAAATGCCTCAAGTAGAGTACATGGCCACAATATGAAACAAATTTGTCAATCCTCATAGTCCCTTACGAATGTGACTCTGTAGGATCCATTTGCTTTCATCAAAGGGTCCAGCGGAACAGGATAGACAAGGCATTAATTTATTTGGGCTACTAGGGTATTGTGACATATCCCTCGAGTAATAATAATAATGACCAATATTTTCTGCATGCTTACTCTGTGCTGGGCACTGCACTAACAAATTTAGGTAAATTACTTCATTGAATCCTCCCAAGAACCCTGCAAAGAAAATATCATTTCCCCTTTTACAGATGGAAGAATTGGCATAAAGAAGTAATCTTCCAAGGTCACAGAATTAAGTACTAAATAGAAGAGCAGGATTCAAAGTGAAGTGTATCTGATCCTAAAGCACATCTTCTTAATGAAATGACTCCAGTAAAATAATACAACGAATAGCAAACTCATGAAACGTCAGTCAGGGGATATAGAAAGCTAGTTTGGTAGACAACAAGCTACCTGCCTCATCATTATGAGGACAAGTAAATATTGGTCTTGGTCTGAGGAAGTACCTTCTAGACTGAAGCAAAAAAATATTCTCTGTTCATGACAATAATATTGTCAGTTCCAACTGATCAATAATATTTCACACTGCAAAAATAATTTTTCTTCCAGACTCAAACACAAATATTGTTTGAGAATATCTTATAACCAATCATATTATAATTATAACACTTTGGTCACAGGGTCAAAATTTAGCACTCTCAGGAAATAACTGCAAGTCAAAAAGAGAAACAAAATATAAGCCAAATAATGGAATCTCTAATTGTAAAAATTCTAATTCCCACGAGACGGTGCAGAAGACAACTTTTTGAAGAGGAATGCCTTTGCAAGTCCCTGAAATCAAATTCCCCATGTTGCTCTCTGGTCATTGTGAACGTTAGGTGAACCTGCCATCATCCATTCATGTGAAAACAACTCCAAGGTCCCTACCATTAGTGAGAGAGCTCGCTGTCAGCACTCTGGAACCCCAAACCGCTGAGAAGGGGGATGCTGATAACTCAAATACTGAATGTATAGAAAAAACAATTCATACGAGGACATTTTAGTTAACACAAAGATACGCATGAGAGATTGAAGGCAGGAAGGAGCTAAAAAGCAGGACTCCGTAGAAAAGGAAATAGGCCTGCCCAAATAGCAAGTGAATCACTTACTCAACCATGCGTTCCTTCATCCTTTCTTCCAATAAGTAATTCTTGAGCTCTAACTATGTGCCAGGCACAATTCTAGACAACATAAATGCACAGCAGTGAGCAAGATAAAGCCCCGATCCTGGAAAGATTACCTTCTAGTGGGGCAGACAGACGGAAATGCATCAATACATTGCATGACATCAGACAACGCGGGGAAGAGAGAGATGGACAAGAAGAGCTATTTCAGTGCCATGAGCAGAGAAGCCCTCAGAATCCATGACAGAGTGGGCACAAAAAGAGGTGGGCAAGGAGCATTCTAGGCACAGAGAAGAGCACGTTCAAAGGTCCCAGGGAGGGAGAATGCTTGGCACTTTCTAGGAAAGAATAGAAGCCAATGCAGTTGGGAGAAACAGTCAAGGCAGGAGGGAGAGGAAATGAGGGGTGGTCAGGGGCCAGGCTATGTAGAGCCTTGTAGGCCAGAGTACGGACTGCATTATTCCAAATGTGCTAGGAAATCATTGCAAAGTTCTGAGGAGAACAGTAATATGATAACGCAATTTAAATTTTAAGGGACCACCCTAGCTACTGAGTGAAGAACAGACCATGGGGGAGGTGGAAGGAGGGAGACAAGTTTGGAGACTTTGTCAGCCAAGGAGAGGTGATGGTGGCTTCAACTGGGGCCATCACAGCGAGTGTGGGGAGAAGTGATCGGATTCTAGATATACTGTGAAGGTAGAGGCAACCTTCCAACGGCTTCGATGTGGCTGGAGAGAAAGAGACGAGTGAAGAATGATTCCAAATTGTTTTGGCCCCGAGTATTAGCTGCACAATTTCTTGGCACTGAATTCTTACGTGAGATAGCCCAGGAAGGGGACAAGAACTGGAACATCAGAGCAACCATGTATTATAACTGTGAAATTCAGTTTTTCTTCATTTTTCTCCT